TGTTTATTGTTGTTTAGTTAGAACAGAATAGAAAACAGAGCGCTGGAGGTATTTGTTTTGTACTTTCAGTTTGTATGGAGCAAATAAATGTTTTCTTGTTTTACATTCACCTAGTTTTTGCGACCGAAAGGTATACAAGCTATCTAAGAAAGGAATGAGCAAAAGTCTTTGCGTCCTGCAGAAGCAGCAAGAACTACACATGTAGTTACGTCCCCCTCAGTGAGAGAGGCAGATACGAGCTGAAACACAGGAATCAAACCAGGGACGCTGCTGTTATGGAGCTGAACTGGAACCATTCAGACACTGAGGCCCTCTGAACACATTTTAATTACAGCTGTGCAGAGACACACTGATGACTGACTGAAACACTATGATTCACATTTTACATTAACACCATCCTCACACATAGTTTATGTATGGCCACTAGAGGGAGATGTTGGACTTTAAACACTAACATGGATACAAGCAGATCATCAGTGATGCTTCCTCAGTGTGATGACTCCTCCCACTCTGCTTGTTTCTTCCATTCCTCTTTCTCATTTCCCATCTTGCATCCTTGATTCTTCTCTTCGTGTTTTTCAGGGTTTTCTCATTTCTCTAATTTGTCTCTGTGAAATGAATGGACCCCACTCAGCCTCAGGTGGCAGTTTTGTTGGGTTTTATTTGCACAATACATCCTTTCTTTATGTTTAAAGGTCAGCTTTTCAGCTGCTTCTCCATTGTCATTGAAATAGGGACAGTCTGATTACTGAGTGGCAGCAACTGCCCCGCCAGCCACCCTGGCACTGCCCCTAGAGCCCAGTGCACCACCTCCTCCACTGCAGCGGAGCCAGAGACCGCACCAACAAACCCCTACCACTGCCCCCTTGTCTCCTCTGTTTCCTAACTTTGACCTGATTGCCTTTAATTAAAAAAGTATAACATCTTGACATCCTCATATTTTAAATCTTGTTTTAAAGTTGACTAATCTCCATCATGAACAGTTTTTTTAAAGTCCACAAACAGCAGCATCTTATGATGTCAGGTGGAACAGACATAATGACATGTTTCATATTTAGAGACACTTTTTAAATACATTCACAGCATAAATTAGAGTGGCAGATATCAGAGCTCACTCACAGGAGTCCTCCCTCCATGGTCTGCATATTCCAGCTGTGGCCTCTTTTCTACCTGAAGGTAAAAGGACTCATAAAGGATCGACCTTTTTTCCAGCTCCTCCTGCAGTCTCCTCTCTCCTTCTGCCAGGAAGTCTGAGCTCTAGTTTTGGTGAGACTGTATCTGGATGTTACTGATTGTTAGGTTTTGTATTGTTGATTGTCATTTATGCTTAGAAATATTTAACCATATATGCTTAGAGGTGTATAATCAATTGGGTAGTGATAGGACTGTGGTCTTTAGCAGGATACAATCCACACTAGAATGCACACCCACAGCCTAGGAACATAAGAGAGATCCTATCTTCTCTTTATTGAAATATGGTATAGCAAACACACGTATATCTCTTTAAATATAAGAGCCTTTTTGTTCAGATGGACCCGCTAGACTCCTGGCACCAGCTTTGGGGAGTCTTCACAGGGTCACATCTTGACCTCACACAAATCACACACACACACACATACACGCAAGGTACTCTTTGTGTGTATGCAGACGTCATATGTTAATGAACCTATGCATATTCATGTAACCTCAATAAAAGAGCAGTGTTATGGGGGAACGGACGAGAGCAACTGGGGCCAATCGAAGGAACGGCGTCTGTCCGGTTCTCTCCCGTGCACGAGAAACATGAAGAACTTTGCCTACTTCGTGTCTTGCTTGCGGTGTAATTATATTTTCTTCAACGTTCCAGCGAATAGGTTCAAGCTACTAACCTATCACTGATTAGCAGGTATCTGTGTCTGTGTGGTGATGATGATGATGATGATCAAAGACATCAATACAATACAACACAAACTCTCATAGAGGACATAAAGTCAGAGAGATATATGTTTTGAAATGACAAGGAGCAGAAGGCACATCTAGTACACGTAGTGTGGCAGCAAAGCACAACTTTTGGCTCCTTTGCTCTAGTTAGCAGTGAGTGCAATCATGGTGCATGCAATGTGAAAGGGCCTTGACTCACACTGCACTGAAGCAGTACTGTCGCCATCCTCCATCTTTAAAATGTATCACCCTTCCAGGACCTGAAGCTTGGTAAAGCGAAACCACGAAACCACGACATAAGCCAAACCCATCTGTTCTCTGATTGGCATAACACTGACCAATCAGTAGAAAGGAAGGAAAATCAGGTCAAAAGTCGCACTCGTACGTTGAAACTCACACACAAGCAGGGAACTTTGTAGAGTTTACATGTAGTTTTTTGCTTGCTCATCTATAGATGCACAAACATAACATTATCAAATATTTTGGTTTCCAAGGTTAGAAAACTTCACAACTACACAGTCTGATTTACAAGTACAAAATATTGATGATCACAATTGGAGCCCCATGAGCTGCTCTGGATGTTTTACATGTACTGGTTCAGTTTATCATAGCTGTTAGCTTGATTCTCGACACATACAGACAAAATTCATCAATATTATCCAACATTTAATCCACACTATCAAGTTAACGTCTCTTACACAGACAGAAACACTTCACTAAGTCCAGAAATGTTTCAAACCTCAGTATATGAGAAAAATCCACAGTGTTAATAACAAAGACACAGAGATATCAAACCTACATTTAAATCTGTGGTGACATGTGACATGATGAACTTCACATAATTTATCTTCTCTGCCAATGACACAAATTTAAAAAGGAATAATTCAAAGTGAAGAAACGAGCACAGCTTCACAGGCTGAAAAGATGGTCTCCAAACTGATGGTTCACAATCCTTTTATTGAACAGTGTTAAGGGTTCAAATATTGAGGAGGAGAGTACAAACAACCATGGTCCAGAAGAGCTTGGTCAAACAATTGATTTTAATGAACACATGCAGCGTGGGGAGATGTACAATCCGAAACACCAGCTGTAGATCTCCACCCAAAAAGACACTTCAGATTGCAACTGTCAATTTTGCAGACACAATCTTGCAGTTGGAAACAAACATATCTGAACTCTCACCTAGAACATAAACCTACCTACAGTGTATGCAGGTGTGTGTGTGTATGTCCTGACCTCACTTGACACTCTGTGTCACCTCTCGCCTCACCCACTAACGCTCACAGTCAAATAGAGGCCACTCTCAAATGTGTTAGCAGTTTACTAAAACTATATGTGTAATATATCGAATAAATGTTTTAATCAAGAATCAGTACTAGAAGCTTAATAAAAGAATATAAAAGTATAAAAGATAATAATGAACAACCTGGTTATTCAAATAGCATCATCCAAACAGCTCCTCAGAATAACCTGCACTTACACTCTGCTTTTAGTTTCTTTTTTTTTTTCTTTCTTTTTTTTTTCTTTTTTTTTTTAA